ATCTGACGGTCAAACCCACTATTCGTTGGTAAAAGAGTAGCCCAAGAGTTGGTGATGACTAGCTGCCTTCCCTCTAGTCTTACACTGATAAATTAGGGACGGCTAGCGCAGATAGCCCTCGTTTAGCTTTGCGCGAAATTCAAAAACAAAACAAACAATCCTCGATCACATGAAGCGTATGCTGTGCCATATAACTCAAGGCCCAAAGATGTGCTTCATGTATGCAGCAATAATAAGTAGAGTACTATAAATATGAGAAAGTATATGTTTTAAATAATACTGCTGTTGTATGATTTAGTTTGACATAAATGAAACAAAACCCAACTAAACAAAATATGTGGCAGTTGTATTTAGATTTAAAGTAAAGAAGTGTAAAGACATGGAATGACTATACACAAAATATATCTTACACTATATAGTTTGTATAAACATCTTGTCTTTTTGGATAATCACCATCTTTCACTATAATCTTGATATTTTCTTGATAAAAATAGTGAATTTTTAAGATTGTGGTATCAAAAAATGTGAAATTAACTGTTTTCGTTTGTCGTCATTTCACTTATTTTTCTTCCGTAATGATATCAACTTTTTTTTACTCTTCTCCTAAAGTATTAACAAAGTGTGGGTCCATTACCACTAATAACGGAAATGGTTTAATATTTTATTCCCCTAGCAGGTAAACTCGTTCTTTGCTTACAGAGACCAAATTGTCAATTTTTGATATAGTTCGTAACGTTTAATAGTTATAAAATGGTGAATTTTTAAAATGTTGGTATCAAGAAGCGTTAAAATTAACTGTAGTTGTGTTTTCGTTTTGTAAATTTCTTGTATGTATGTGTTTAAATCGCATTTGTACGTCAACTGAAACCCGTAATTGTTTTCTTTCGCGTAATGTGTTACCTGTAGAACATCGAAAATGAATGAAGTTGTGGCAGTGACTATTAAGACTAATTGCTGAAAATTATATAGCAGGTAAACTCGTACTTCGTATATGAATAGAATTTAAACTTTAGGCCCAAGTGTCAGTATTTAGGTACCTGTTGGAAGTGTTATGGAAGAAGAAAAATCTTGGTATTCTGGTTGATTAGTCTCTTAAGCCATCAAACAGTATGTTGTTACTAGTGGTAGGACAAATAGGATTTTAGGTTGTATCTAGATATACTGAATACAAGTATAATGAGGTTATAAGTTCATTGTATAGGTCAATGGATAGGTCACATGCATTATGTTTAGTCTTGGGCTTCTTACCTTATGAAGGATACTGAATTAGTGGAAAGGGTTCAGACAGAGGATACTAGGAAGATACCTGGGATCGAATGATTGTCATATGAGGACAAGTTAAGATCTCTGAAACTGTTTTATCTATAAAAAAGAAAAGCTAGAAATGTTTAAGATTGTCAAGGAAACTGATAGTGTTGGTGCATCATTTTATTTTGGACCTAATATGAGAATGATAGAATTAGAGGACACAAATATAAGTTTTAGCAGGGTAGAAGATATCTTCAGTTAAGAAAGTTTCATTTTTCTAACAGGACTGTTGGCCTTTGAAATGTGTTGCCTTCAGATGTTGTGGATAGAGTAACTTTAAGGAAGTTTAAGAGAATGCTCAAGAGAAGGTTTAGTTTACTGGATGGAACAGTCTAGATGAACAAGCACATTCATTGTTGTCCTTAGGTTTTATGTCAACATGTCCAGTTAAATATTGCAGAAAGTATGTATTTTGTTTATTGTATAAAAATTTCTATGCAAAATTAATTATATTAACAAATGTTCTGTAACAACTAAATAATTTTATTCTGAACACTTCTCATTGTTACACCTATCTTATTAAAACTGAAAAAAAAACTGCTTTAATCTGGAATCACAATTCCTTACATAATGTTTTTGATTTAGTAATTTAAATTTTAATATTTTATATCCAAAAGATGTGAATATTTAATATTGAGAAACTTTCAATGCTTCTAAGGCATGGTTAAATGATAACTCCCTTGTCAGTTTAGTTCCTTATTGGACATGGTTTTTAAATGACAAATTTTCAGTACTAATCCACCTTGATAGTGTCCCAGAAACAGTCCTTTCAAAAAGAAAAATGACTGCTTTACATAACAGATCACATGGACTGGTTTGGTTTGCATCAACTCATATTAACAAGATTTTATTGCATTGTCTGTTACTGCCAAACATTTAAATGTTATTTTAAATTAAAGCAGTTATTTAAACAAATAAATCCTACTAAAGTAATGGAGTTAGAGATAGTGAGTGAGAGTAAACTGGGAAATTCTGTTAACTTTGCTACACATTTTGTCAAGTAGCAATAACTCCATTTCACAAGTGAAATTTTCAAGTATCTTATAAGCATTATATCAGTACCAAGTATTCAGTTTGGAGGTGCATGTAAAATAATCTAAGATGGTAAACAACAAAATAACTAGAGAATCTTCAAGAATCTACAAATAAAGAAATATGTAAGTATTTTTCTAGTATAACCAATAATATATTTAAGTGTGACAATCAACTCAACCCAAATATTTTAGTGCCTATTCATATTATAGCTTAAAACAACCTATATCAGCTAAGCCTTAAATAGTCTTAACAATAACATACAAAATAATAAAAATATCTTAGCCCTTACAGAAATGTGATAAAATATTTGTTTACACTGCATGTATTTTTTTCACAATCCTTTTAGTTTGCCAATGCAACAAATAACATTTGAAGTTTAAAATATTATATCATAATACTCAATAGATCTACAGATATTTCATGTTTAATTTTCACCAAACATTTAACAACATAAAATTGTCACATGTGATTTGATCAGACAGTTTATTAATAGTGTATATGAGTACACTTATGAATATTTAAAAGTCTGAATAGACACATTATTATATTTATATCATTTTAGATCAAATAATACTGTAAGTGTACCATATGGGCAAAACAAAAGTTGATTCAAGTGTCTACCAATACATTTTCTATGAGTGATGGTAAGTTAGTGTTTAAAACCTTTAGGCCCAGCAATATAGTTTGAAATGCCCACAAACTGATTGAATAATATTTCATTAAAGTAAAATTCAACATTAAGATTTACAATGAAGACTCACAGATGCAACAGCTATTTTTTAATTCACTATATTAAGTTAAATATGTAGTAATTGCTACAGTCTTGCACACAAAAAAGAGACCATCTTAAAATCATGAAAAAAATTTCCATTATTCAGGGCAAAAATAATGACTTCTGAGACTATAGTAACTTTTGACATTATCATCTTTATAATTACAACAAACATTTACATGTTTGTTTTATATTTAAGGACAAAATCATATATGCATGCAGTTTGGTATTTATGGGTTGATAGTGTATCAAGAGATGACCAAATTTTATTGTATGAATTCTTTAAACAATGTTTTCAATAGGTCAAGATCAGATGTAGATTGATGACAACATTCCATCTCAGCCAGAATTTATCCCTATAGCAGAAGAGATCACAATTTCAATGGTTAATGACATAGGTGTCATTATCAAAGCAACAATAAAAGAAACTGTTTTCATGCTATTGATAGACTTCTAGGTGAATAAAGGTATTATTATCTGACTAATCATGTGGACCGTAGGAGCACAGATTTTCAGGATAATAATTTCTTATGTGATTCTGAATGCTAATTCAGTTTTTTTAATGCATTAACTTATTTTTAAGTTTACACTTGATTACAAAATAAATGTGAATTTATAAAAAGGAAAAAAAATCAGAGAAAGTTGATGCACAATCAATTTACTGCCGAAATTAAAATTTAAAAAATTAATTTTGCATCAAATTGACGAATATACACATTATATTTTCTTATTAAAAAAATATGTTTATAGCATATCTTCAATATTCATTTGTGAGTGACAAACAATACATAACTTACATTTTTTATTGCAGATCTTTATGAAATGATGTGGTGTTTTATTATTGAGTCTCATCCCAACAACTATATTTGAACAGAATGTTGGCAGAACTGTCAATAGATCAGGAAGATCTGCTGTCACCAGAGAATATGGATACAGATATGCTTTTTTTGAAAAAAAAACTTAGAAGAAAATCTAATCATTGTTCTACTTGCTGAGAACATTTAACAACACTGTGACAAAGATAAATTTCCTTACATAAATTATTTGTGTGTTTAATATATATATAATAAAAGCTGCTCTTTTAAAAGGGGGCAAGTTCCCTAAAAATATTTATAACTTATATATGAGTAACAATGGCTTACTCAATTAGCACTTATGTATATGAAACAAGAGGAAATCCTCAATAACTGTGCACTTGAAATTCTTTTAGGCAGGGTTAGAGTAAATCAATCTAGGAGACTTTTTTTTCCTTTTATTAGCTACATTTTTGTGCACCAGCAACACCAAGCATGGAGCGTGGGTATACTCGATTCAGTTTTATTACTCATTCAGGTATCTATACCAGCCTACCCTT